TATCTGACTTAGTATAAATCTGGGAAGTCTCCCTTTCTAAAGGGAATGCTGCCCAAATTTCTACCAATTCAGGGAGTTAGACAAACTTTGACTGTCCAAAGTTAGAGATTATTTTGATTTTTATATATGGACTTATATAAATTCTGGAAAGACACTTTTCCTACGGGAAGCGCTGCCGAAATTTTCTTAGTTTAAAGGAGATCGATTATGTTTTGACAGGTTGAGGTTAGATAAGCCCACTTTGACTAAAGGAGGATTTTTACTATATTGCTTAGAGGTAGGCTTAGACGTAGTTACTAGGGGGATTTTGGTAAGATCACGATATGGAGATTGTTGTCCATGAACTTATAGCTTCAGCCTGGGACATTGACCTGTCTTGTGTTACAGGTCCTCTTGATCGACTGATTCAAGTTCAGGACCAGATTCAGTTTGATCCCTTGAGGGTCATTATCTGTTATCACTGATAACAGGTCGGTTGCCGATTCGTCGGTTTACGACTCAGTTCCAACTCACTATCCACACTCAACCTAAGAAGCTTTAGCCCTAGTGAATTTTATTGTTTCATTATGGTTTCACCCGGACTTTTATTGAATGACCATTTAACAAAGGTGCTGAGTATTTAATTAAGGTTGGTTGGACAGGAGGTTTGGGGCTTGTATGGCTAAAGCGAGGGGTATGAGCGTCGAAGATGGTTGGGGTTGACTCCGTGTAGTGCGTGGGTTGTTGATTTGACTCGTTGATGTGATTACAGGTATTTGTTGTGAATCAGATTCTGGATTTGATTGCCTGCGACCACATATATACGTATAACTGTGAGGGACCTCAGTGAGACTGTGAGAAGTGATCGTCACATACTTCCCCATTTTATATATATATACATGGGTGTACCTAGGGTAAATATCTGCATGAGCTAAGGGGTCACGTACAAAGAGCATACTCAGAAGTTAAGACTGAGAGGCCCAAGAAAGACCCGCCCCCTTTTCTTTGCTTTTGCTTCTTGAGGATTTTCTTAGTCGGACGTTGGTCCTGGGTCAGGATTCAAGGTCCTTGTCCAGGACATCCCAAAGCCCTAAGCTCTGCTGGGGAGGGATCTTCCCTCGCGCAGAGCCTATTTGCCTTGCCCTTCGAGGCATTCCACCCTAAAGGCGGAAATGTCGCGAGGGCCGAACGACATTTCCTTCAGCCATTCAATATCATGTGGGGTAACCCCTCACGATACATTTCTTCAGCCATTCAATATCGCGAGGCCAAGGCCGCGATTACCACGTAAGGTTGACATTGTTGGTTGGTATGATATTGGCGCGCAGCTGCGCGGCTTTATATCAGAATCCCGCGCGCGACGCTTCGCCGCCCTAATGTGTGGAAGTTATGGGATCAAAAAGGGACCGACACGTATGGACGAATGCTTTGGGATTACTATAGGCCGCCGACGCCGTGCGAAAAAGGGGGAGGCACCCCAGGGTTATGATTTTTATTAGGCGGGGGAACCGTCGGCCTATCCCTTATCCTTTGCTTTTTAGAGATTTTTATGGTTGGACGTTGTTGTCCGTGGCAGCCGTCAAAGTCAAACCCCTTGACTTTCGTCCAGGCCCAGGGAGGACTTACCTCTAGGGTCGCGAAAGACGGCTACCACCACAGGTATAAAACCTGTGTACCACCCACTCTTCGTAAGGGTGCAGAAGAGGGTATGTGGTCCTCAACCTCGCATGGCGATTGTCCAGCGTGGAGAGATTAACCCTCAAAGCGGGTGTCAGCCAATACTTGAGTGTCGAATGTGACCCTCAAGATTAACGAGGACCGCATAAGTATGGGTACCACATAGTACGCCATCATTACGACTGCTTGCGTACGATAGCATTGCGAGTCGAAATAAGTCAGCCCTGCATCAGCGCAGTCTTATATAAAGTTTCGCGCGCAACGTCCATTCGATTTCTGTATCAGAGAGTTATGGGTTGGCTACCGAGGGGCTAGGAGCGTTGTCGCGTTGTTTTGTGTTGTGTCATTTCGTATGTGTGCGTGTGTGTGTTTTATTTTTGTGTTCGTAAAGTGGTGTGCGCGTGGTGTGTGGGATGCAGCCTGGTCGACCGACGACGAGTCGCGCTTGGGACCTCAGCCCCCCAAGATGTCGGTTCGCGTGCGGGTTCGATAGAGGCGTAATACCGCGTCTACCCCCTATGCTACAACGAACGAGAAACGCCCTCGGCTGGTCCACCTCTGCGATTGCAACTGATTAGCTTTCGTACTGTGGACTAGTAGCTCCACGGGGATACGTCCACCGAAGGGAGGTGACAACTCTCATAAGATGGAGGTAAGTCGTGCCTCGCGTAGGCCCTATCCTGTCGTAAGGGCTCGCGAGAGGTATGGCTGGCGCACTCGGCCGGAGCGGCTTGCGGAAGCTCCATATATATATTTGGGACGAGGATTTAGACCAACTCCTGCGTGACGCGGTCGGGAGGGTCCCGCGCTGCCCTGGTGCGGTGCCGGACCGATGCGCTCAACAACGCTGCTCACATGCGGTGGCACATCCCTCACACGCATCTCCAATCCTAGGAAATCCCACATCCCGTTACCCTCATCAGTCCTCTTAAGCGTTAGGTTGCCCGGATAGCAGCTCTCAAAGCTACTTCGAATCCTCTCCTCGGTTGCACTTCCCAACCCCCTTCCTACATCGATGATCAGGCTGACATCATCCATCAGCCTTGATCCATACACTCTGCTCCTCAGATTTCCGAGACTGTTCAGGAATTTGAACTCGGAGTATGCGCACAGTATGCACGCCAACGGTGGGCTTGTACTTTTGCCCATCGGAATGCCTACAATCTGCGGTAGGAGCACCCTTGTTGCATACACATATGTATGTTCCAAGTCAATGCTGACGAAATCCTTAATATCACTCAGCTTCATAGCCCTCCAATGGTCGGCTCCTTTTGTCCGTCCAAACGTGCACCCTTTCCGTCTTGGATTCACCCGGATGGTGTCCTGTCCTTTGCTAACGTAGTGATCAATGATCCAGGTAACTGCCTCCATGATATCATGGTGCGACAGCTTACTGAACATGTCCTTTACATCGTAAGACATGGCAGTCAGCTGCACCGTAGAGTTCTCACATTTCTTGTTTATCTTCTCAATGCCCATGGTCACCTCAGAGACTGATCTCAGGTTGAAATGCCACTGTGCTGGCAGATGGAACAACATGTGGTTCAGGGCCTTGGCTACACATTTCCCGGTCTTCGTTGCTGGGTCCTAGTATGATGGACAGATCGGACGGAATCGCTGAACATCTTTGTGTTTTGGCATGATGTACGCCGCCCCGAAGGTCCCCCGCTTCTCATATCTAGCGAACCTGGTCAGGCCCTCCTTCTTGAAAGCCATATGGACTGTCTCCTTGACTTCCTCCTCACTCTGCTGTACCACTTCATACCCGGGATTGATGACAAAACTACTCATCATTGCTTCAAAGTAAAGGTAAGGGCACATCACATAGGTTTCCCATGGATTCCTGTCTAGGGGTGTCAAGACCAACCCTTCGAATCTCCTCCTAGTCTCCTTCACGACCTCGATATCCAGGCTGATATCACCCGACGTTTCACTGCTAATTAAGCAGGATCTGATCTCTTCACTAGTCACATATACTGTCCGCCCTCCGCCGTTCCTCCAGCGCCCAAACGCTTCTTCGATCTCGTGTCTCAGAAGATTCGTTCGATCAGGATGCCGCGTCTTAGGTATGTTGTTTCCATTACAGAGCATCGGGTGCACTCCATCCACCTTATGTAGACGAAAGCTGACATGCTCACCTACCCTTGGGTAGGAGAGACCTGCGCAAGTGCAGGTAGACACATCCGCGCGTGAGAAAGTGCGCTGGTTGTGCAGTATTTCCGCAACGGACTGTTTTTTTGCCCAGATCGTATGTACTTTACTTCTTGTGGTCTTCGCCATACATGAAGGCAAAGCGAGTTTCTCGATCTTGTTGTTGACAACCTTCCTAACTTCCACCAACTTCACCCTGTCGTTGAACTTAACCTTCACGGTGAGTTCGACACTCATCACCCATCCTGTCTTCTCCTTGATCATTCTTCCAATGATTCACCTCAGGTAAGATCGTGTGGACTTCTGCTGGAACTCCTTGGCAGCCTTGTATAGTCTAAACATGGTATCAACGTCAGCTTGCTCCACCTGCTGCACCTTCCTCGGATTACACAACAAAGCAATCAACAACTTCTTATCAGGTCCGCTCTTCGGTTGCCACCTCCTCAGATATCTGACATGGACTACATCACCTTGCTCCATGTAAACTCTGCATTTGGCCAGCTTCATCGTCACCCCACCTACCTCCACCACAGTTGCTCCAAAGGCTTTCCTAATCTTCTTTCATCCCTCCATCCAGCTATTACCGCCCGATGAATACAATCGGAAAGATCTCTTCCCCGTCTTGTCGGCATCCTCCAGGACCTTAGATATGCTACACGTCCACTCCTCTTCTTCGTTCAGCCGGACTTTGACCACCACGACGACACTCCCTGCTCCACTATCCTTAAGCTTTCCCGACTTTCGTTCCCGCTCCGAACTCCCACTTCTTTGCTTTTCTTTCGTTTAGACTTCTTCGCCACTCCACTAACATTCAAGACCGGTGACAATTTCCGTATATACAACCGCTCGAGCTCCCCAAGGTTGTGTGCGTTCGCCTCTTCGACAGGTAGGATAGCATATGACTCGGCTCCAAAGATTCTCCACCAGCGATATAAATGAGTGTTTTGCTCATTTCTGGCACTCCTCGCCACGTGTTCATTCCACCTCAAGTTAATATCCCTGCTGGTCTGCCCGATGTATGTTGCTTTACATCGGGGTGATACTAGCGCATATACACCCTTGTGTCTGTCAAGGAACTCCGCGTCGTACTTCCTATACAGTCTAATCCACGCTGTTGTGAACTTCGACAACCATTTCACTCTTCCCGTAATTCCCAATAGCACGACCACGACGTGGTATAGCCTTTGTACTGCTACTTCGGTGTTCGACTCCTTACGGTGCTTGATGAGCCCGTGGCGAAGTCCCCATAGCCTCGGCCCATCATCCGCGAGTCAGTCCTCCTCTTCGCCTTCCGTGGTCGAGTCCGATGCTTCCTGGATCCCAACTTCCGCTTCGGCATCAGCCGATGTGCCTTCCTCCCCATACGCCTCCTCTGCTAACTTCTCGGCAACATTGATGACTGCAAGCACTTTGTTGCCGTATACCAGGTCTTCACGGCGACACAGGAGCTTGAGATCATCCGCTTGGTACTCGGCAAGCTGGCGCATGTTATCCACTACAAACTTGGTCTTACCCGCTGATCCGATTTTTGCCGCTATATTAGTTTTCGGCGTTCCACGTTTCGGTGTGTATCTCTTTGGGGTCTTGCTTCCTCCCTCCTCCGGCTTGCCCTTCTTTGTGGTTTTCTTCGATGCTGTTGTCAGCAGCTTAGCCGCCAGTTTTCTTGGCTTCACCTTCGTGTTTCGCGGTGTTCGTTTCGGCGGTACTTCCATCGGTGGACTATTCCCGATGGTAGCGTCCGGACTCCTCTTCCGCTTATCCCCGATGGTCAAGTCTTTCGCCTTCTGACTAATCTCCTCCACCTCGCTTGCTTCCAACTTACTGGTATACGATACCGGCGATCCCGGTGGTGTTGATGTTGGCGATGCCGCTGCTTGTTTCCCTTTAATGATAGCGTTGAACGCTTCCATGTTCCTCCGCATCTCTTCTTGCATTTGTTCTCTCAGACCTCCCACGCATACTGCCAATTGCATGCGCATCGCCTTGCTCAACTCCATTTTCTCCTCCTCCGCCTTCTTAATCTTTGCCTGCTTCTTCGCGATACGTCTCTCTTTAGCTAAGCGTGCTTCCTCCCTCGCTTGACGCTCCATTTCTTCCCGGTGTTGTCTCTCCATCTTCTCCTGTTTACGTCGTTCTTTCTCCTCCTTCTTCCTGTTCTCCTTCTCGATATACTCCCGGAAGCTGGCGACCGATTTGCCGAACCCTTCGAGTTGTTTCTTCACCCGCTCATCAGTTGTTGGGTCTGGTTTCGGCATACCCGAGCTACTTGCCCCGCCTTTTGCAGAAGCTCCCTTACCCCGCTTCCAACACTAGTTCCTATAGTGGCCTGGTTCTCCACAATCAAAGCATACGGGTGGTCCTCTCCTTACGTAGTCCCCGCCCCCATACCCCCGGTCACTCATTTCCTGATAGTCATCGCGGCTCCTTCCACACGTTCTCTCCCTCTAGTCTTCCCGTTTGCTATCCCGACCTCTTTCATAGTAGTCATTCCTGGCATCCCTGCCATACGCTCGGTAACTGCGATCACCCATAGTCCTCAACGTCAATCCTTCTACACGCGATCCTGGCTGCGCTAGTGGCTAGCCACTACCAGCCTTATAACCGCACCGTCTCTGCGCCCTGCTCACTCCACCCGGTGTATATCTTCCATTCGTCGCTTCACCTCGTGGTGCAGACGTGTCACCACTACGCATCCGTGACCTGCCCACTGCGTTCAGCCACCTCATAACACATCACTGCATACTATGTCGTAACCAATACATCCGAAGTTCCTCGGAAATCGAAGATCTAACATGCTCACACAACTCCCAGCAACACGTCTCCAGGCAGGTTCACATGCGCTTTCGAAGGTTGTAATGTGAGAGAAATGCAAAGACAAGTATACAAATACACCAATCATTGCAAAACTCAAGTACACATCAGCATGGTAAAACATGCATCAAGTACTGACTGTGCTCCGCAACGTGTTCAGCCGAACATATTAAAAAAAAAAGAAAAAAAAAAAAAAACTTTGTTTTTTGGTTTTTGATTTTTAACTCTTGTTTGGTTACGAATTTGACCATACATCCAGAGCAAACATTGTTTGCATTATTATTTCACATAACATATATTGTTTTCAGAGTTTTTAGAGAAGTTTTTTTTTTTTTTTTAATAATATTTTTATGTTCCCGTTCGGAGAGTTTCGCCGGTCGTTCGCGTTCGGTCCCAAACGTTTTGGTTCGGTCACCGAACCCGAACACGATGCTACTCAGGACACCACCATCTTTGAGGATTTTTTTTTTTTTTTTTTTGTTAAATAGAACAACTTTAAAATTAAGAGGGAAAAACCTTACGTCATAAAGTACTCAAAAAACGAAATTTAGAAACAAATAATAATATGTAGGTGTCAAAATATTTTCTTGTGGGGTCCGAACCCCTTCAAGTTCAGGCCCAGTACAGGGACCCAAACGCCCAAACGTTCGGGGGTCAGCTTAGGGGCCTCCGCACGTTCGGTCTGGCAACCATATATATATATACATGGTAACCGACGTTCGGGACGGGCGGAACGCCTAAACATACGAGACACTTTGGTGATGTATTCTGCCATTCGGGCTAAACGCGGACCCCCACCCCCCCGAAGAAGAAAAAAAAGCAAATTCAAAAATATCTGAAAAAAAAACTATGTTATGAAGAAACATAAAATAAACAACATTT